GCTATGCTATGCTGCGCTATGCTATGCTATGCTGCGCTATGCTATGCTATGCTATGCTATGCTGTGCTATGCTATGCTATGCTATGCTATGCTATGCTATGCTATGCTATGCTATGCTATGCTATGCTATGCTATGCTATGCTATGCTATGCTATGCTATGCTATGCTATGCTATGCTATGCTATGCTATGCTATGCTATGCTATGCTATGCTATGCTATGCTATGCTATGCTATGCTATGCTATGCTATGCTATGCTATGCTATGCTATGCTATGCTATGCTATGCTATGCTATGCTATGCTATGCTATGCTATGCTATGCTATGCTATGCTATGCTATGCTGTGCAGTGATCTATAAGCATATGCGATCTACAAGCATATGCGACCTGCAAGCATATGCCATATGCGATCTGCAAGCATATGCCATATGCGATCTGCAAGCATATGCCATATGCGATCTGCAAGCATATGCCATATGCGATCTGCAAGCATATGTGATCTGCAAGCATATGCGATCTGCAAGCATATGCTGTCTGCAAGCATATGCGATCTGCAAATATATGCGATCTGAAAGCATATGCTGTCTGCAAGTATATGCGATCTGCAAGCATATGCTGTCTGCAAGCATATGCGATTCTGCAAGTATATGCTATCTGCAAGCATATGTGATCTGCAAGCATATGCGATCTGCAAGCATATGCCATATGCGATCTGCAAGCATATGCCATATGCGATCTGCAAGCATATGCGATCTGCAAGCATATGCGATCTGCAAAGAGATGCAGTCTGCATGCATATGCGATCTGCAAGCATTTGCAATATGCGACCATTTGGAATATGCAAGCATGCGCAATATGCAAGCATGCGCAATATGCAAGCATGCACAATATGCAAGGATATTGCATATGCAAGCATGGGCAATATGCAATATGCAAGGATATGCGATCTGCAAGCATATGCCATATGCGATCTGCAAGCATATGCGATCTGCAAGCATATGCCATATGCGATCTGCAAGCATATGTGATCTGCAAATATGCCATATGCGATCTGCTCGCATATGCGATCTGCAAGCATATGCGATCTGCAAACATATGCGACCTGCAAGCATATACGACCTGCAAGCATATGCCATATGCGATCTGCAAGCATATGCCATATGCGATCTGCAAGCATATGCCATATGCGATCTGCAAGCATGTGCCATATGCAGTCTGCAAGCATATGCTGTCTGCAAGCATATGCGATCTGCAAGCATATGCTGTCTGCAAGCATATGTGATCTGCAAGCATATGTGATCTGCAAGCATATGCGATCTGCAAGCATATGCCATATGCGATCTGCAAGCATATGTGATCTGCAAGCATATGCGGTCTGCAAGCATATACGATCTGCAAGCATATGCAGTCTGCAAGCATATGCAGTCTGCAAGCATATGCGATCTGCAAGCATATGCGATGTGCAAGCATATGCGCTCAGTAACAAAAACAAGAAAGCATGAAAACATGGAGACGTGAAAACCATCGCAGGACTCGAACCTGCTGTCCAGCGAGTGCTATGCTATGCTATGCTATGCTATACTATGCTATGCTATGCTATGCTGCGCTACACTACGCTACGCTATGCTATGCTATGCTATGCTATGCTGCGCTATGCTATGCTATGCTATCTGCAAGCATATGCAGTATGCAAGCATTTGTAATCTGCAAGTATATGCGATGTGCAAGCATTTGCGATCTGCAAGCATATGCAATGTGCAAGCATATGCGCTCTGCAAGCATATGGGATCTGCAAGCGTATGCGATGTGCAAGCATATGCGATGTGCAAGCATATGCGCTCTGCAAGCATATGGGATGTGCAAGCGTATGCGATCTGCAAGCATATGTGATCTGCAAGCATATGCGATCTGCAAGCATATGCGATGTGCAAGCATATGCGCTCTGCAAGCATATGTGATCTGCAAGCATATGCGCTCTGCAAGCATATGGGATGTGCAAGCGTATGCGATGTGCAAGCATATGCGATGTGCAAGCATATGCGCTCTGCAAGCATATGCGAT